GCAAAGCATCATTACTATCGTTCGTTCATCGTCATCATCACCACCATCATCATCGTCAATTTCCTGCACAGCATCACAATGATCATCGCCATCCTCATAACCTTCGCGTGCGGCGACCGTGTTGAATCAGTTTGTTTGTGTGTGGGCCTTGAAATTAACCTCATGCCCGTGAGAGTAAACACTAGGGGATAATAAAGTTCGGGGTTCAGGGAGAGATAATAAAAGTAGCCCAGCAGACCTCAGCATAATCTCGAAGTAAGAGATGATCAAGAGGAGACCAAGCCGAACACGTTTTGAGACACCCTTGGCGTTTAGTTTTCATAGAAATATCCTCAACAATGGCTTATTTCTCATGAAAATTGTTTTTTGTAAGTGCTCGTGTAGGGTAGCTCATGTGCCTCAATTTCCATGGATAATCAACCCCAGAGATAAAACAGTTCAGGCGAGCGTGGGGACAGAGAAAAATATAAAAGAATAATAATACAGTAGAAGAATAATAAGAAAGAAGAAGAAGAGGATAATAAGAAGAGGACGAAGAAAGGATAACTCCAAAGTTCCAAATCTATCAATTTTAACTTACAAACGCTTTACGGAAATTGGTGTTTTTAAGTGCTCGTGTAGGGTCGCTCATGTGCTTCATTTTCCATGGATAATCAACCCCAGGGATAAAAAAGTTCAGGCGAGCGTGAGGACAGATATAAATATAAAAGAAGAAGAGGAAAGTATAATAATAATATAAACATTGCTCGTTTCGTTTGAGTCTGTCTCCCAAAATTCTTGGTTTCGCTTGACACATCCTGAAAAAGTGTGATCGCTTCGCTTGATGTTGCTATATCAACATCGCTTGATGTTGCTATCTCAACATAGCGTTTCGAGGTGATAATGAAGTTCGGCCTCAGCGCTCGCCGCCCAATTTGAATTTTGTGTAGGGCGACGATAATCAACTCTAAACACTGAAGGGGGGGGGGTCCCTTTATTATCATCGGCATGCGGTTATAATGCAAGCCGGGACAATTTTGCAACGATATACCCACTTGTAGCAGCACCTGTACTACAACATTTTGTTTGTGTCGCGACCTTACAACGAATATGTATCGTGGAGGTCTGCAGTGGCCTCCGCAGTTGAAGTCCGTTCCCGCATATAAAATAAATTCGACGTCTTGCAAACTGAACAAATGTGTAAATCACCCCAGTTGGATTCAAGTGGGTTCGGCTTAGCATGCTGGCTGCACGTGTACGGATTTTGTCAAACGCCAGCGCCGTGGCGGCTGCGGAACTCGATCTGGAAAACAGAAGAACAAAACAAACAATAAACGGGGATATGTTCGCGAAAACCTTATGTTCCAACATCGGTTTTTATATGTAAGCAGTAGAGAACGCCTGTGACTTTATTTGTTTTCGTTGTGTTGCACCCGTAAAACGAGCAACACATGGATTAATAGTTGTTTCATATTCACCCTGTGAAGACATATTGCTTTATTGTGTTCCCTGCTTTTTGTTAATATGTTTCCTGTGAAGATCCGGCGACTTCAGGGCGCCGCCAGTAGCACTCACCACCAACAGTATCAATATGAGCAGGTCCTCAGTGAAACTCAATGGGTGTAGACCCCTTCAACTAAATTCAGTTTGGTTTTCATGTACAAAGTGCTTTCAAGTGTACGGATTGTCAAGAGGCGTCGCCGTGGCGGCCGCGGAACCTTACCAGGAAGCAGGGAAACCCGGCACAAACATTAACACCTGTTTCTGCACATGGGGAAGCACGAAACATTGAGGAATACGTTTTTTTTTTGCGGCGCCGATCCCCACAATCAGGGTCCTTGTGGCAAAAGCCTTTACACAAGGATCCCTTTGTTGTTGCGATTTTACGCAAGGATTCTGAGAATGGGTGACCTGAAGCGGCTTCCACCATTCGAATCATTTGGTAGTTGCCTGTGCAGAGGAATTCCTTTTGTGGCGGCCTTGCACACAGTTTTCAGTCGCGGGGGATCTGTAGTGGTGGTGGCACCTTGAGCCCAGGGAAGCCAGCAAAGACAAATACGACAATAACAACATGAACAATCTTGCGATACCACATGGAAACCTGGGGGAAAGCAGGGAAACCTATGATTACCGTTGTTTTGATAGTGCCCCACACATACAATATATATATATATATACATATATATATATATGTGTGTGGGTGGACAGCCCCCCCCAGCACCCATTAATCGCCTTCTTTCTCTTGGCGATGTTCTACACTCCTCTTCCTTTCCTTTCCCTTCCTTCTTTCACTCCCCTTCCTTTCCCTCCCCTTCCTCGCTTACATCTTCCCCCGGCGTCAGCGGGGGCGTTTTTTCGACTCCACTCGCGCGCGCTCTGGCCGCAAGGCTGGCCAACGCCTAACGGCAGCGCACTGTAGAACATGCGCACGGCGCCTTCCCCCGAATGAGGGAACCCTGAGTTTGTGGCGAGCATTCTGCGCACACAGTGGGCCTAAGAGGCACCGAACCCTGTGATTTCACAGGGATGCTTGGGATTTCTGGGATGTTAATCCCACAAACCCTATGATTTCACAGGGATGCCTGGGATTCCTGGGATTTCCTAACTCCGACAATAATCTACCCAGGGCCCCCCCCCCCTCCCTAAGGCCGCGAATCCCAAGCATCCCTGTGAATTCACAGGGATGCTTGGGATTCGGAATCCTGGGGAGCTTCAAGGTGGAATTGCGTCGGAGGGTGGAGAATCCCAGGAATCCCAAGCATCCCTGTGAAATGACACGGTTTCTGGGTTTTTCATACCAGAAATCCCAAGCATCCCAATGAAATCACACGGTTCGGTGCCTCTTGGGCCCCGGAGGGGGCGGACGGGAAGGGCGAGGCAGACGAAGAGGAGGAGGAGGGGGAGGAGGAGGCGGAGGAGGGGGAGGAGGGGGGGAAGGCTGAGGAAAACTAAGAGAGGGAATCGGGGCACGCTGCAGCATGCCGCGCAGGGAAAAGCCTGCGCACTACACACAGTGACGCGGAAACGAACTGAGCGGCTGCATGGGAGATGCGGCGCGAATACTAGAAACAGTATTGCACAGGGCAAGAGGAGGAATATATATGAGGCCACCGTTCGCAATCGCAGAGGGCGGAAGATCACGGGGGGCAGCAGCGGCAGCAGCAAGGCTAGGCAGATCTTTGGGGGCGCTTGCTCAATCAAACATCATAGTGCCACGCCGCTCGCGCCAACGCCACGCACGGCGACTCCGCGCGGGCACGCGCGCGCGACCTGAGCCATCGCTCACCAGCCGTGCTTCTTGCTCCAGGCCTACTGCAGCATGGCGCCCGTCTCGCGCCAGAGGTCCTTGCCGCGGTTCCAGTGCGCCCGCTGGAAGCTGCGGACCTTCTGCATGAGGTGCGCGGAGCCGACGGCCTTGTTCTTGCCGACGAAACGGCGGAGCTCGCGCCAGACGCCGTCGATGATCTGCGTGCCAGTCTTGACCCAGATCCTCTTCTTGGCGCCAGCCTTCAGCGGGTCGGGGACGTCGTGGTACCGCTTCTTGCTGTGCGACGGCTTAAGCCACACCCACTTGCCCTTCACCTTGGCCTTCTTCTTCTTGTGGACGACCCAATCGTGGGCGACGCCCTGCTCCTTCAGCTTATAAGACCGCGCGCCGTCCGCGTGGAAGATAACGTTCCTGTTCTTCAGCCACTTCTTCGAGAGGGGCGCCCAATCCGCCTTGCGGATGGGCCCAGGGCCTGGGGCCCGACGCTTGGTCTTCTTCGGCTGGAGGCGGAACGGCACAAGAGACTCGGGGGCGCCACGCTGCACGATCCCGCCCCACTGCTCCCAAACGATGGGGGTCGCAGTGCGGGGCCCCGCGTCGGGGTCCTCCATCTTGCCCAGGCCCACCTCGTCTGCTTCGACGTCTGGCCACTCCACGCCCTCGCCGAACTTGATCTTCGGCTCAGTGGCGCGCACGTGCGCGGCGCGCGCAGCGTGGAGCGAGTTGTAGATGTTCACGACGGCCTTGTGGTTCCTCCGCACCAGGAGGCGCGTGGTCGTCTGTGGACAGCCTGCGACCGCGCAGAAGAGGATGGCGGACTGGTCTGCCAGAGACGAGAACGACTGGCCCGTGCCCTTGCAGAACATGGGATGGAAATCATGCGGCGCCACGTGGCGAGTGCACCAATCGCGGCTGCAACGGTGCCCCCACCCGCCCTTCTTCTCCCCGTGGTCCTTCAGAGGCCCCAAGACGCCCTCGCCGCAGCGAGGGCACGTCGCCCCCTCCCACTTCGGCACGATGCTCTCTCTGCGCAGCATGTCAATCACGAACTTCTCAGAACGATTGACGAAGTCCTTGATGCAGCTCGCCCACGCAGCCCTGTCCTTGCGACCCCTCGCAAGGGCCGCGGCGCCGTGCCGAATGTAAGGCGCAGTCTTTGGTGGGACAACCTTCTTGCCGATGGTCTTCTTGACGGCGCGGCCCGTCGCAGGCGCTTTCATTGCATTCATGGGCGTCTTCATTGCCTTCATGCGAGAGCGCGGCGGCGCCATGGCTGCGTGGGCCTTGCCCCTCTTGGGAAGCGGGAAGAACCGAGACATCGCTCGCGGTCGCGCGAGGGGGCGGACCGCGCGCTCTGACCTGATAGCCAAACGCTGCTACGACGCATGCCTGGCCCACGGCCGCGCAAGGAATGCAACCCCCGCAGGCGCGCTCCGTTTTTAATATTTTTCCCCAGGCGTCGCTGCAATCATGAAAGCTGACAACAGAGCGGCGCGCGACGGCCTCATCTGGGGCGCAGCGGAATGCGCCCGAAACCGTCGCGCGGTCTGTGGCGCCTTGTAAGGCAGTTGCACGTATGAGAGCGACACAGCGCGAATTCGGAACGGGCAGCGCGGCACGCAGGCGCCCCATCTGGGGCGAATTAGCGCAGCTGCGACCGCGGCCGCATGCGTGCGCCTACGCCCGAGACACACGCGCGCGCGCGCTGTCCGTGTTCTGCTGACCAGGCGCTCACGCAGCCTGAGCCTCACGCTCACGCAGCCTGGGCCCCGCTGCCCGCAGACGATGCGGCTCCCCTCTGCCCCTCCTCATCCAGGATCTGCTCGAGCTGCCTCTCCAGCGTCATATCGCGCTTCTTAGGCGATGGGGTGCTGAGGTCGATGCAGGCGCTTGGCTGGATCTTCAGGTTCTTCCAGACGCCAGGCTCCAGCTTGATGCGCGTGGTCGGAGCCGCCTCTGGCGTGCGCGGCACAACTGGAGCAGCCTCAGGGGCGCCGCCGAAGAAGCCATGCTCGTCGAAATCATCAGGGGGGCTGGGCACCGCTGGCGCGCCCGCGGCCGCCTCCGCATCCGCGTCGCCCTTCTCGGCTGCGTACTCAAGCGCCGCGGCGGCGGCGCGGGCAGACTTCATGTGCTTCGCCATGAGCTCGGCCATGTCCTTCTTCTCGAACGAGGGCAGACGGCCGAACTCCTCGGCATCGCGGCGAACGCTGGAGTCCTGCAGGTGCGCCCAGAGAACCCTGCCTGCATCTGGTTTCAAGTGCCCCTCGTACAGCGGGTACTTCTCGACAGCGCTACCCTGGCCAGCTGGGCGGAAGTACAGAGCGGTCTTCGTGTTCAGCAGGGTGTTGCACCGCTTCAGCATCGCCCCGATCTGACTGCTGGAGAAGTGCTTGGGGAAGGCAGGCAGTATCATGTCGATGAGGAACTGCGTCGTCTTCTTCGCATTGTCGCTACTGGTGACGGCGAATACCCAGTCTTCGAGCGACGGCTCTGCGGACGCATTGTACTCGTTTTCCCCGCCGAACCTCGCCTGGCCCCGCACGAACTTGGGCGCGCCCCACCTGACATAGGTCATCGCCTGCATCTGTGTCGGGTCGAAGAACGCCTGCGGCGGAAGGGGGGAAGAGGCTGTGCAGGCCCCCCGATCGATGGAGGTATCTCGCACCACGCAGGACGCGCGCGGGATAACACCAGCGTCGAGCAACGCGGCCACAACCAGCTTTTTCCCCGCCCGCACCTTGAGCACGCGGGGCCGCTGGTCGGAGAGGCCCCCGTCGTCGAATATGCAAGGGGCCCATTTCTCCCCGACCTCCCCGCGGAAGAAGTCCATCTCGGCCGACACCCGCACCGCCGCGACCTCGTTGCCCCGCGCCTTCTCCATGTCGGCGTGCCAGCGCGCGATGGCCATTGCCAGGATGTACATGAGAGGTGTCTTGCCAAACTTGGCCTCGCCAATGGTGAGCAATGTGTTCGTCAACAGCGTCTTGATGATGCGCTTTGCGATGTCCAGATACTCTGGGCGAATATCATGAAGCAGGCACGGGTAATACGTCTCTTTGACAGCAAAGTGGTCCCTGTCCTGGATCTTCTCGAGCACCCTGTCAATGAGCTCGCGCCTGAAGTGGTGGACGGGGCTGTCTGGATCGACGAGCTGATGCTCGACCCACAGCATTTGCTCGCAATCAAAATACCCGCGCGGCGCCTCTGCCATGATGAAGTCGAAGCCCACGCGCAGCTTCCTCTTCTTCACCTCCACGCCGTCCTCGTCACCAGGCGCGACGGCCGCTGGCGCCGCGACTGGCGCCGCGAACTCCCAGTACTTGAACAAGATGCCGCCCATGTTGTCGAACAGCAAGTGCATCGTTTTCAGCGTCGTGTGACGGTCGCGGGTCCAGTCGGGGACGTAGGGCTCGCCATCGATCAGCTGCTGCTGGATGACGCTGAACTTCCCCCTGTTGAGGAATGATATGAACTTCACCACGATGTAATCTTCGCCCGCGGGCTTCGACACGTGAAGGTTGAGGAACATCGGGATCTCTGTCTTCGTGGGGAACCCCAGTGGCGGCGGCAGGCTGTTGTAGTCCCCCTTCGACATCATTTCCTTGACCGGGCCCCAGTCGACAGCGGACAGATCTCCTGGGGACGAGACTACGTCAACGACGTAGCTGGTTGTCTTCTGGGTTCGGCCCTCCCAGTGCTTGATGGGCAAGTCCCACACGGTCGAGCTGCCTGGCCTGTCGATTGGGCCGACCATCATCGATTCCGCGAGCGCCACGGCGAGCTTCTTCGCATTCGCAACCGCGAACGTGCGGTGGAGGACGTCTTCGGTGTGGTTCGGGCGCTCCATGGCCTTGCCAAGGGAGGTCATCCCCATTGCCTGAACGTTCGCCATCACAGGAGACTCCTGGCTGGCCTGGAGGAGAAGGCAGCGAGCTTGAGCCAGTGTGCCTGCGGCGGGGAGAGAGGGCGGAAGGCGGGTAGTTTCGACGGCAGAGCGCTATCGTGTTTGAACCCCACGAATAGGGGGATCTCACTCAAGATCCCCCGACTAGGGGGATCTTGTTTAAGATCCCCCTAATGTTTGCCAGGGCCAACACAACGTAGCATTTCGAGACGGTCGTGGCCCGTCACGCGACCGCTGCACGCGATATCATGCGAATCGATCGAAACGGGGGCCGCGCCCGCCAGGCGGCACAATGCGTCAGCATGTGTGTGTGTGTGTGTCTGTGTGTGTGTGTGTGTGGTGTGTGTGTGTGTGTGTGTGTGTGTGTGTGTGTGTGTGTGTGCGCGTCTCTCGTTAGCAGCCCCGCGCAGGGGGGGTCGTGGGCGCATGCCTTACTGCATGCCCATGCAGCCATCCCGAAGGGATAAATTCCCCCTCGAGACCCACTTCGCTGGGCCCATGGTGAGCCAGGCCCACCGCATCCTGTCTTTGGGAGTAGCCCAGTGGGGGAAGCGGCCCTGTTTCGCTTGGAAAACCTTAAGCGCAGCCTGGGCCTTGTCAAGCTCAGCCTGCTGCTTCTCGAGGAGCTCCCCCTGCTGCTTGTTCTCCTTCGCGAGCCGTTGGTTCTCCTTCTGCAGCTGCTTGACCTGCTCGCCCTGGTCCTGTGCCTTCTGGGTCTCTTTAGAGAGCTGCCCCCTGAGCTTCCTGATCTTCTCGTGCAGCTCGTCGCAACGCTTGTTGCTCTGGAGGGAAACGTCGGCCACTGCGTCGCACAGGCGCTTGTACGATGCATGGTTGAACTCTTTGAGCGCCTCGTGCAGCTTCTGTTTAACCCAAGGCCTGCTCAGGAACGCCTTCAATGCCTTCATGCGGGCTCTGTTCATGTTGTTGACGCGCTTGCGCTCGAGCGCATCCGTCGACGACGAAGGCACGATGGCAAGAAGTGGGCAACTTGAGCCAAGAGGGGGCTACGATAGCAGAAGGAACGTGGAGGATCGCAGGGGGTGCGATGAGGGGGATTGGGATGGAGGGCGAGGGGCGCAAGAAGAAGGCGAGGAAGAGGGAGGAATCAAGACAGGGAGGAAGATGGGAGGAATAAGCATGAAGGTGTATAGGACGTCGATGGGCCCTCCGTGGCACCCATGGGCCCCGCGACCCGCAGGTGTCTCATCTTCCTCTTCCTCCTCCTCCTCCTCCTCCTCCTCCCCCTCCTCCCAGGTATTGCGACGCTTAGGGGGAAAAGGCATGAAGGTGAAGAAGACGTGGATGGGGGAGGGAAGCATGAAGCGGAAGAGCGAGGGATCAAGACAGGGAAGGCGATGGGGAAAAGAGGAATGAATGATGGCAAGAAGGTGAGGTCAACGATCGATGCGAAATCAATGGGTGCTGGGGGGGGGGGGGGCTGCGCATATTCCTATAATTATACATCCTGTAAGGAAAAAAACCCCCCGGATGGCCCACACCCCCCCCCCAGATACCTTTTCCCCCGGTCCAACCCAGCCTTTCGAACCCCGGATGGCCATCGCCGCCGCTCTTCCCTGACACGCCCAGACGCCCAGACGGCTCCCGATACCTTTTTCGCCGCTCCTTCTTAGTCGCCGACTCCTTGCCAAAACACCCCAAACGGCTCAGGACGCCCCCCCGACGGCTTGAATACGGTGTACGACGGCTCTGACTGACGAGTCCCAGCCACCCTTCGGACAGCCATCCCCGTGCCCCCCGATACATGGTTCGACGCTTTTCCCGGGTTCCCGAGCCTCTGCCCACACAGCCCAGACGGCCCCTACATTGCTCAACGCTTCTCCCTGGCCACTACACTCCAAAAAAAGGCTTCGACCAAATCCACGCGACGCCCCAAAGAGCGACCACGCCTTCAAGGCTCCACGAAGGTCACACAAGGCCCCCAGCCAACTGCACAGGGCGCCAGAAAGGCGTCCAAAAGGTTTGCCTTTAGGCCTCCACCTTCCAGACAACACCCTCCCCACGACGCTGCTGCCTCCTCCTTCTCCTCCTTCTCCTCCGCTTCCTCCTCCTCCTCTTTTCCTCCTCGTCCTCCTCTTTTCCTCCTCCTCCTCCTATCTTCCTCCTCCTCCTCCACCTTCTCCTCCTTCTCCTCCTTCTCCTCGTCCTCCTCCTGCTCCCGTTCCTCCTCCTCCTCCATTTCCTCCTCCTCCTACACCGCCTTCTCCTGCTCCACCCTTTTCCACCTCCTGCTCCTTCTCCTCCCCCTCTTTCTCCTCCTCCTCCTCCTCCTCCTCCTCCTCCTCCTCCTTCTCCTCCTCCTCCTCCTCCTCCTCCTCCTCCCTCTCCCCCTCCACCTTCTCCTCCTCTTCTCCTGCTCCTCGTCCTCCTTTCCTCCTCCTCCTCCTCCTCCTCCTCCTCCTCCTCCTGCTGCAACTGCTCGTGCTCCTGCTCCTCCTCTTCGTCCTCCTCGACTCGTTCCTCCTCCTCCTCCTCCTCCACTTCCTCCTCCTCCTTCATCCTTTTCCCCCTTCTCCTCCCTCTCCTCCTCCTTCTCCCCCTCCTCCTCCTCCTACTTCTCCTCCTCTTCTCCTCTTTCTCCTCCCCCTCCTCCACCTCCTTTACCACCTCCTCCTCCTCCTCCTCCTCCTCCTCCTGTTCTTCCTCCTCCTCCTCCTCCTCCTCCTCCTCCTGCTCCTCCTCCTCACAAGCGTCCCAAACGGCCGCGCAGACATCACCTGCTCCTCTTCCTCCTCCTCCTCCGCCTCCTCCCTTTGCCTCATCCTCCTTCTTTTCCCTCCTCTCTTCGTCCTCCTCCCCCTCTTTCTCCTCCTCCTCCTTTTCCTGCTCCTGCTCGTCCTCCTCTTTCTCCTCCTCCTCCTCCTCTTCTTTTTCCTCCTCCTCCTCCTCCTCCTCACATGTGTCCCAAACGGCTACACTGACGTCTGCAGGACGCTCAGCCTATCACGCTCGCATACCACGAAATCAGCTTGCCTGAGTAAACGCATCCCCCCACAGGCTTCCTATCCCGCTCATCCTGACTCATCCTGCACCTGCTCCTGCTTACCCTCCTCTCCATGGCCATTCATGCTCGAGCCTTCCAGCAGCCTGCACCGCCTTCTCGGCCACGTTCGCTGCTGTGAGATGGTCCGGCCTGGATGTGCGTTCCAAGGCTGTTCGTGCTCCCAGCTTTCCACAGTCAACGCCCTGCTCGACTTTCGCACGAGTCCCTCGTGCAGCTTTCTGTTGAACGACAACCTCAAAACTCATGGAACCACGGGCAAACCCGTGCAACCCGTATTCTGCTCCTCGGAATGCTTTGAGGCGGCCTGTGGCATAAGCGGCCTGTCCCAAGTTGACGACGCCATGCTCGCTCTCTTCCGAGCGACGTGGCTTGAACGAGATCGGCGACACCGTGCGCGGCTCCTCCTCGATCCCACGATAGTTTCAGACTCTCTCGAGGTCGTTCCCGCCGAGGGGCCCGTCTCGCTCAAAGCGGCGGTTGCTTCTATCATGGCCGATACTTTCTTCTGTGCCACGTCCCGGGAGCTGGACAAGGTTACCCTGGAGATCCGCCGGATTGTCTCTGCAGCCAAAAGTTGGCCTGAGTATCTTTGGCTCGTGTACATCGGCCGCAAGACGTACTCTTTAGACGCCGTGTGCGCCCTGCTGGAAGGCCCTCACAGACTCAAGTACGATCGTGGCTACACCATCGACCCAGACGCCTTGGACCACCTGCTCGACAACACTAGCCTCGGTGACGGCATCCTCCACGGTGAGAGCAAGATCGAGCTCCGCATGCGCATCATCGCCGTCCGGGACCTCCTGCACTCTCTGCCGCGAGGGTTCCTCGACGGGGCTCCCGACGACCTGGCACAGACTGCGCGCGTACTCCTGAAGACCTCCGAGAAGAAGCCCGGCACCCCCGTCACATTCAGTATGACGGAGACCGCGGCCCGCCAGTGGCCAAGCATGACTACGACCGACCGTCTCTGGCATTTTTTCATGTCCATCGGCGGGACGAGCCACTTCCACGCCTGGCAGATGTGTCTCGACTGTCCTGACGTGATTTGCGACGCCTCTCAGATGCGAGCCGTGGGTCCCAGTTGCTACTCCTACCTCCGCCTCGCCTACCCGGCCGTGGAATTCCCTGCAACATGGAGCTCTGCCCAGGGCCAGGACCTCGGCGTTCGCCTGATCGACCACCTCCGTACGCGCCCGGAACTCCAGGGCCTCGAGTTCCCAGGCCCCACGCTCAGCTTCAACAACACCGAGCACTGGACGTGCGAATCCGTGAAGGCGACCAAGGCCTTGCACAACGACGGCCTCCTGATCCGCGTGGGCGAGATACGGCACGTCTTGCAGGGAGGCGCTCTGGCGGTGCCGGCCAGCGGCAAATTTCGAACGCGCCGGTTCCGCACCGGCTTGGCCGCGCCAGACCCCTCCTCCATGAGCGGCAGTTTGATGTACGCGCCACGGACCACCAGCCACGCGCCGCTGATGAAGAAGAGCGTCGTGGGGGAGCCGCCTGCGAAGCGCCAGGCCTCCCTGCTGGCTTTCGGCGCGGTGCGCCGATCAGCCCGCGACCCCTGATGTCCTTCGACGGCGCGCCGTGCAACGACAGCGCGCATCCTCAGGCATAACACTGACTCCGCGGCCCGCGCATGTTTAGTTGGGCCAGCCCGGCGCCCTGGATCTTGCCGGGCTGCCGCGGCCACATATGCCCTGCTGCCACGCCGCTCCTCTCCCTTCCCTCTCCCATCCTTTCCTCCCTCCTCTCTGCATCGTCTGCTCCCGTTCTTCTACCTTCCCAACCCTTCTGTCGCAGACATGGCGCGCTGACTCGCCCTGGCGCCGCCGGCACTTTTGCCTCCCAGCCACGCCGTTCGCGCCTCCTCCCGCTCTCCAGTTTCTCCTCCCTCCTCTCTGAGTCGTCTGCTCCCGTGTTTCCTCTTGCCCTCCCCCATTTCACATCGCTCTGCAATTCCCTACTACCCACTTCTTTTTCGCACGCTTCTTTTATCCGATACTGCATCACGCCGTTTTCACACGTGCTGTCGCGCTCTGTGCGCCGAACTTCTCTGTTCTTCCCCCGCGGCACACGTCCGCGCTGGCACCCGTGTTTGTTCCACGCGTGCGAACAAGATTCCTGACCACCTGGCAAAATATCCTGCCCTTTTGACATAACAGCGGTTGCAGCGACGGCCGCGCTCGCTTACAGCAAATCGTCACACACTTCGTGCTCCACGTTTCCACAAATCCCATGCCCGAGCAACTTTTTCGATGCCCCGACACTACTGTAGGCCACTTCGTCCTCTTCGAGCTCCCAGAACCCCATTCCCGAACCACATTTGGGATGCCCCGAGCCACCTGTAGGCCACTTCGTGCTCTTCGAGCTCCCAGAACACCATTCCAAAACCACATTTTTGGTTTCCCGGAGCCACCTGTAGGCGACTTCGTGCTCTTCGAGTTCCTACAACACCACTCCCGGACCACATCTGGGATACCTGGAGCCAACTGTAGGCCACTTCGTGCTCTAAGAGCTCCCAGAACACGATTCCCAGACCACATTTTAGATACCCAGAGCCACCTGTAGGCCACTCTGTGCTCCGCGAGCTCCCAGAACTCCACTCCCGAGCCACATTTTGGATGCCCACAGCCAAATGTTGGCCACTTCGAGCTCTTCGGGCTCCCAGAACACAACTGCCAGCCCACATTTTCGATGCCCGGCATCAACTGTACGCCACTTCGTGGTCTTCGAGCTCCACAAACATCATTCTCGGAACACATTTTGGATGCCCGGAGCCAACTGTCTGCCACTTCGTGCTCTGCGGTTTCCCTGAACACCACTCCTGGGCCACACTTTGAATGCACGGAGACAACTGACGCTGAGCCAGACTGCTGCTGAGGCAGACTGAGCCTG